AATAATAATTTTTCACCCTTGTTCTAAATAATATGCACGTATAAAGCTGTAATCTATTAATGTAATATTCACACAGGCTAAAAATAGCACACACGTATACCTAAGTGTCGATGTTGTTTAAAGAGCCCTTCACATGCCTGTTTTATAGCTCTTGCATTAAGCGCTTTTCAAATTAAAGGGCCAGTCAAAAACTATAGCATGTGGGGGTGGGGGCTGCTGATAGTGAAACTGATGTGGGGAGCAGAACTGTGAATCCTTATGACTTTATGCTTAGGATTGGTTGAAGGAGAGAGATATGCCAATTAAACCAAGCAGAACACCTGAATGTTATGTGTACACAAACATGCTTTGTTCATGGAAGCAACCCAGCCAGATGGGCGGGGTATAAATAATATGATGATGATGATGAAGAAGAAGCAAACAGTTGAACACTCACATAGGAAAATTTAGAGTTTCACTTACAAACAAGAAAGAAATTAAGATTTGGATGCATGCTGCAAGCTCATGTTTAGAGCTTGAAAACATAACTCACAGAGTTGCTTGGACATCTGTTTGACCTGGAGCAGTAAGGAATGGGCATCCCTGTGGAAAGCAGTGATGGGGCCTCAAAACCTAATATTAGTTAGAGCCTTCACGATTTCCAGTACTGCGGGCTTGTTTGTTTCACTAATAATATCAGGTATTTCTTTAGAGGTGGTGCTAATAGGCTTGTTCAGCATTGCCATTTGTTCTCAAAGAACAGGGTTTAGGGGACAAAGATGTATTTTTACATAATTTCCTGTAGTCTATAGAACCAAGTTATGAACAAGGGATTCACAGGGAGAAATTCAGCTCCCACCGAATGACATTTCAGCTCCTGTGTTGGTTTAAGAATACTTCTTTGCTGGCCATTTTCTAGAGGGTATGCAAAGACCAACAGAGCCATGGATTTTTTTTTGACATACATCAGGCATAGGCAAACTCAACCCTCCATATGTTTTGGGACTACAACTCCCTAGCTAACAGGACCAGTGGCCAGGGATGATGGGAGTTGTAGTCCCAAAACATACAGAGGGCCGAGTTTGCCTATACCTGACACAGATCCAGGCATTTGTTCAACGTTTTCAGCTTCAAGCCAATTTTATAAAATGTTGTACGCTGTTTGCACCGGGCAGCTAAGAAAATAAAGGGTTCGTCTCCCTGTTTCTTTTCCCTCCCTCCATTCTGCTCATCAATCTGTCATTTCTGTTCTCATTTTGAAAACATTTGTTTTGTTGCCAGAGTTGAGATAACCAAGTGCCAATAAATAACTTTTTAAGAAATGGCTTTCATTTAAAGCACATTGGCACAACTGTGGAAGGGATAGATATTTTGCATATAGCAGCTAAGGCAGTTGATGAACTGCTTCTATGCAAAGACTAATGAGTTCCATTTTAAAGTGGAGGGGCCAAGGAAATAGGATTCTTATAAATGCCATCAAACACATTTAATATCCTTTTTCTTCAAACGTAGCTCAGCTGGCTTAAGCCCAGAGTCTCTCAACCAGATTTATTATGGATTAGATGCATTCCATCTCACAACAGGAATGTGCTTATTTGGGGTGGGGGAATCACAGCACAGAGCAATAAAGGCTTAAGCATTCAGCCACTTGATATATTAATGGGTAGCAGTTATTATAAAAGCCTTCTGTTGTGTGCTCTTAAACTTAAAATTGAGTCTACATGCATCTTTCTTTTTAAAAGGGCATTTGTACAAATATAGGCCATTTTCTCTTCCTCTGTAAGCAAACATACAACTTGCTTTCTAGGGCGAGCTTAAAAACACAGCTGTGAACTTCCAACATAATAAAATTTAGCGGACATCAGAACACCAGTGGAGAGCACCTGATGTTCGGAGCTTCTGATATTATAAGCCCATTCCCCACTGCACTGACCACAAAATTCCTTGAGCAGTTTAGCGACCCTTTTCACAATTAAAAAAATATAATAAAATAAATAAGAGGGTTGGACTTCCCTTCCGACTCTACAGTTCTATGATTATATGCTTCTAAGGAAGGCTAAATTGACTCAAGGGCTTTAATATTGGATCTGGGCACAGGGGGACCTAAGTTAAGTTCAGGCTCAGTTAAAGGGCTCAGGTTCAGTGCCTTCTCGGTCATACTCTGTTCTGTCTGTGACACTGCTGGAATCTGAGGTCATGAAGGTTTTCCTGTTGAAATCTTCTCCCCCCCCCCCCGAGCTGCTAATAGTCCACTGCAGGCAGTTTGGGGGGGAGAGAAGTATAATGGGGTTACATTATGCCCATTAGCAACTGGAGGTGATCATTTTGAGAGGAAAGAAGTGATGCAGGGAGGAAATAATTAACCTTCATATCTATCTACCTACTATCTATCTATCTATCTATCTATCAATCAATCTATCAGTCTATCATCTATCTATCTATATCTGGTCACAGTTATTCAGTGTTGCACCTAGCTTTCACCCAGAGAGAGAGAGAGAGATTTTACAGTTTGAAACAGTTCATAATATTATTAATGGGCATCGAACTAATATGATCAACTCAGGTCATGGCTTCAGGGTTTCTTTAAATGAATTCACTGTTTTGTACCACTGCACTCATATTTTTTTTACGAGTGAAATAATTTTTTAAGTCTGGTTCATATTGATTCAATATTTAAGCTTTGACACTTGCAGGCAAATAGATTTTTTCAGAAATTATGACCTAGCTTATGAGTTCTCTCACTACTTAGATTCATCTGTCTCATCTCTTCTGTACCAGGAGGTTAAACGAATCTCCACTTAATCTCAGCCAATTCACTTGGTATTGCTATGCCATCACAGGCAGCAGAGACATTTGCTTTCTTTGTGGCCGGCATAAGCCTCGGTACTCCTAAGAACCTGCCTTTTGCTTTACTTCCACCTGCCTTATCATATTGATGTGACCTCTTCCCATGGCAGCGAGTTCTGTATACTGAGTGTTATCCAGAAAAATCAATGGAACCTTACAACCAGTTCTCATGTTACCTTTGTGACTTGTTTTGTCTTAGCACATGAGGGCAGCTCGTATGGCAGTGAACTAGTAACTTGAATTTTGCAACGGCAGCAAGATCCATGATTCAGAATGGTCAGTGAAATTGCTAGACTTATGGGGTCTAAAAGTATTTTTGTTGGCATCCGTCGGGAGACAAATGAAAGAGCATGCCTTTAGGGGTGAAGTCAAACCGTTGGAGAGTTGCAGTGCTTGCTGTGGCTGTAGAAAGCAATACGGAAGAGACCTGTTTTATTGCAGGTGGGGCAGTTAGTTGTGGCATCCAGTTTTGCTGCCATAGGTGCACCATGTTGTATGTTAACTCTGTGCTCCTCCCAACGGTCTTTCCTTCTCTGGTCACCACTGTGGATAAACAACCTGTCTGTCTGCCCCCAGGCATTGAGATCATCTGCAAGGGATTCCCATATGGCGGGGTTAATGTTCCCAGCCTGCATGTCACTTTTGCAGACATGTTTGTAACACAGAGTTGTACTGCCAACACCTGAACTACTTGCTACAAACAAGCAAGAAGTGTTTTGTTAGCTGTGCGCAATCACACCACCTTTTGCATAGGAAATGCCCAGGGCACACCAAATTAGATATTTAATGTCTATCAAGGAATAAGTGCAGAAATCATAGCAGAGAATTGCAAGTTTGTCAAGGAGTTGGCAACTCAGAATACCCAAGTTGTTAATTTACTATGGTGGTCTATTTGCGTGTCAAGACCCCGCAACCACCCCCTCGTTGAAGAATAAACACACAGGACACAAATATTAGGTTAATGTTATTGGGCAAATTTTGGCCACAACTTTATTGATTACAGAATGTGAGCGGTATTGGCTTAGGCATTGAATGAACCGGACTATATCTGACTCCTGCGTTGTGCAGGGAGTCTGGTAAGGGTAAACCACCAGAAGGGGGAGCCCTGTCGATGCAGACCAACTCAAGCTCCCCCAGGTGTTCCTGATGGGGTCGTGGCATGGCCCTAGCCCAGTCCCAGACTTCGGACAAGATCCACACACCCCGGATTCCTTTAACAGAATACCCTTAAGCTTGGAGGAGCAGGTGTTGGCCTACCTCCCCCATCACAAGGTCAAACAATGCCTAACTGCAAAACCTTACAAAGTTGTGACGATTGCTACGAGGTAGGCAAAAACCAAATGGCCCCATGCCAATTTTGCCAAGTAGAAAAATTCCTACCAGGCCCCTCAACGGCCACGCCCCACCAGCCAGAGGATTGGCTGGCTGCTAGTTGATGTGACCAGGATCCCCCAGGCAACGCTGGACTTTGTCTCCCGCCCTGGAGGTGAGTGGGTGGTCATGCAGTCCACCGCAACTCCTCCCCACAATGAAGTGGAGCGGACTTCCTGCCCGCCCCCCATGCATTAGCACAATTGACAACTTTTAATTGTAAGATTAAAGATGGCTTCTGGGCACAGAAGTTTTCTAGTTCAGCAGTGGTGCTGTAGTTAAGATGCTTGCAGTGCTTTTGTGTGGATGCCCAGAAGACTTTACAACAGATTCGCAGAAACTTACATTCAGTCTTGCAGGGCATGCATGACTAATGTCAAAGTGTTGCCTTTGAAATGCATTTTGGGGACTCTTCCAGTATCACAAAGCAAATGAGGTACTCACAAGTCCAAGCTGTGCAATAAATCTTGAAATATTTTATTTGGTTAACCTCTCCCAACTGATTGATTTTGGGGGGGCAGAGGTGGGGCTTGTCTTTTATTTGAATCTACCTTCACAAAAATAAGTAGACTTTCCTAATAGCACCAATCATCGTTGTGATTATGCCAGATTGAAAGTTGGTTCTCTAAACTTGGCTAAAAAAGCATATCACCTTTAAATAAATTTCCGGACATCTCTTTTTGGTTTGATTTGTGGATGTTCCAGTACAGCAGATACAAAGCCGAACAATATGCATGGTTAAAAACTGTGCCTAGGGCTGCAGCCTTTAAATGAAATTCTAAAATGTGTCCTTTTCCAAACAGGTTGAAGTAATGAAGAGAGCTCTTGAAAGCCTTAACCTGAATATTGTAGAGATGACAGATGAACATGCAACCTTAGATGGAGGAGATGTTTTATTTACAGGTACAGTAAAATAAAATACGAAACTTTGCCACTTAATGTTTTGGCTACATAGACAGCTTGATGGTAAGGTACTGATTAAAAAAACCCATTTCCCGTTTCTCCTTACATTTTCATTAGTTAATTTGCTTGTCCAACAGTAACATGAGACTTTGAACACAGGAAATCATTTCCTAATGCAATAAATTTCCTGACATCAGAATAACAAGTGAATTAGGAGAAGTAAACTAAGTTTGTTGTTGTTGTTTATTTCATTTCTATCCCACCCTTCCTCCCAAAGGGGTCTGAGATGGCAAAGCAACAAGACAACACAATTACAAACAAAATAAGAGCATTAATAATATCTAAAAACAATTTTAAAGTGCTATCAACAGGAGTTGCTCATATCACACAGGTACCCTGACTTTTTGTGTGTTTTTATCAGTCTGCTTTATTTCATAGGTTGCTTGGAAAAAATAATGTTAGTACAGTCATACCTTGAAAGCCTTGTGAGATGAACGTTTTGGCTCCCAAACTCCGCAAACCTGGAAGTGATTGTTCCCGTTTGCAAACATTCTTTGGAACCCAAATGTCTGTCGCGACTTCCGATTGGCTGCAGCCAACCGGAAGCCGCACCTTGGTTCCCAAACGTTTTGGAAGCTGAACAGACTTCTGGAATGGATTCCGTTCAACTTCCGAAATACGACTGTATTAAGATTGCATCAAAAGTCAATTATCCAGGCCCCGCTACTCCTTCTTATTGCCGTTGCTGCTTGTTCACCTGCCCTTGTTCACCTCCAGATACCTTGCTCTTTCTCAGTTGCTGCCACTGGGAGATTATGCTGATTGGGCACAGAGGGAGAGTCAAGTGAATGGGCAGCAAAAGTGATGGGAAAAATTTGGCTTCACTCTGAGATGAGTAGCCCATTGAGATGATCGTGCCCACACAACCTAGGTGTAGCACAGGTTGCTGTACTGATTTCAAAAGGACAGGAGACCCGGCAAGAACAATAGTACTATTCAAAGGGTCCAGTGTCTGTTTCTATGTATGTATAAGCCTTCTGGTTTTTTGGAGTAGTTGTTCTTTTGCCTATCTGAAGGAAGTGATGGTGTTATACTTGTAAGTTACTATTTCTAAAAAAATTATAACTATAATTAAACTTGATGTTGCGAGATTGTGTGTGTGTATGTTTTCAAAGGACATTTCTTTGTTCAGTTTACGTATTCAAATGATGTTAACTTCAACAAGATTGGACAAAAACAGTAGATTATCTTATTGCATATGAACTCAATCATGCCTATTAATATTTTCTTTTCTCAGGCAGGGAGTTTTTCGTTGGTCTTTCAAAGCGGACCAATCGACGTGGTGCGGAAATTCTGGCAGACACCTTTAAGGTTAGCAGAGTTGCAGATTCACCTTCAGATGGGGGATCCAATGCGTGGTAAAGTTTAGCACACTGTGTAAAAGGAAGGAGCCAAGATATATGCCAGTACTAAGGCATCTTCTGTGTTAATTCAAGGCATTAACACAGTGCAAGGACTAAAAACAAATGAGAGAGATTACTACAGCTCTGTGCTATAATAACACATTTATTTTTTGTCAGTCAGTTTCAATTTGGGGGGGGGCTGTGAGGCTGGAAAATGGATTGTTCAGCTTTTCTTACTTCATTTTTACACTATAAATAAAATTCTGCTTAGGCACACAGTGTCAATGTAGGAAAGAGGACAGAGTGCTTATCTTAAATTGCTGAGACCTGGGTTCAAAGGTCCACCGCACCATGAATCTCACTGGGTTCTGGTGAGTCATGATGACAAGGTGGTTCCATGAGAACTTGGAGAAAACGTGAGAAAAAATATATAATTGAAAAACATGTCTTATGCTTCAATCATATGCACAAGGTACTGGGAGTGCGGGACTTAAGTCCAAATAAACATGCATAAGATTTGCAGGTTACATCTCATCTTTCATTTTGATTTAAAAAGTGGTCGGCATTCCTGAAAAGTTTCAATGTTTCTTCTTTGACTGAACATCCTTAAAGTATTGATGGAAAATGTTTTGAAGATACATATAAGGAATAAAGAGAATTTTGTTCAATCTGCATTTTTAAGCAGACTGACCTAATTTGCACATCCCAGACTAATACACTAATTAGAACATTATTATACTTCTGATTTCCTCATTGCTCTGAATTTTGCAATCCAGAAACAATCCAAAGTTGTTTTTTTTAATTGACTATTTTAGAAATGCTTATTTTAAATAAGTATTTTGTATAATATACAGTACACTTATTTTGTGGTAATTTACATATTTAAATACTCATGAGTATTGGAATACAAATTCTTGCATGGGTGGTGGTGGTGAAAGTTGTAAATTGCAGATCAATGTGGAAATGGGATGGGGGGAGGCTTAGGACTAAACACATGGAAAAATTAACATGGACTGGGAATAAACTGATCCATCCTATCCCTACACATGAAACAGTTCTATTAGTGGTGCTAAGCAGATCCGACGCAGAGCAGGGCTGGAGATACCTGCAACTCCCATGATGTCATTAGATTACCTTCTATCCGCTCTAGCCAGTATGACCAATGATCATGGATGATTGGAGCAGCTAATAATAATAATAATAATAATAATAATAATAATAATAATAATAATAATAATTTATTATTTATAACCCACCCATCTGACTGGGTTTCCCCAGCCACTCTGGGTGGCTTCCAACAGAACCCCAAAATACAATAACCTGTTAAACATTAAAAGCTTCCCTAAACAGGGCTGCCTTCAGATGTCTTCTAAAAGTCTGATAGTTGTTTATTTCTTTGACATCTGAAGGGAGGGCGCCACTATCTAGCCTAGATGGGAGACTTCCAAGGAGCCATACATCAGATGTTCAAGCTCTTTGGAGGGAGAATGGAGTAAAGTATAATAAATCAATAACTTCTGAAATCATAATTGAAATACTATTTTGAACATTATTTCCCATCCAAACCACATTGCAAGAATGGCAATCCTCTGGCTTCAGCATAACCTGCTTCCATGGAAAGTATTTAGGAGAAGGGTGCTTGTTACTAGGAAACTGTTGTGTCCTTTTTATGCTCTTAGCCACTCACCATTTCTTTTTTTAGAGGCTCTTGAAGTCAAACTGTTGATTTTATGGAGGCTTCTTTTGCATGTTAATGAAGCATTTTTTTATCTACTTGTTTCCTGAAACAATGATGGCACTGAAGTCCACGGAACAACCCAAAACTCTCCGTAGAAAATTGCTGTGGTTCTACGAGTTGACTTAGAACTCAAGACACACAAATTAGTTAATGCACGGGGGTGAGGGATGCAATTTATAATTGTGTTAGTTTACGAGATTACCAATCTAATGCATTTCCTTTACGAATGCCTAATTTCTGTACAGGATTATGCCGTTTCTACAGTCCCTGTTTCTGACTCCTTGCATCTGAAGAGTTTCTGCAGTATGGCTGGGCCAAACCTCATTGCTATTGGTTCAAGTGAAGCTGCACAGAAAGCCCTCAAGGTAAAGCATGCTAAAAATAACCTGTGCTTAAAAAACATTGCTTTTAGACTCAGTGTTTCCTTATAGACTCCGTGTAGGAGCGAATCCGGCCTATGCAAGCTGCAAGCATCAACAGCCTCAGCAACTTCAAAATAAAGAACCGTTCCAGCTGTGATATTAAATACATCTTTGTTATTCACTTAAAAAAAAAGTGCCAGTAACGTCAGCTTGAGGGGTTGATAGTTTTGGGGATCACAGCAGATGTGCAGGGGAAAATTAACACTTTCCTCTCCTGCTGTGGTGCTGCAGAGAAACCCCCCCCCCAGCTATCATTTCCTTGGAATAAAATAAGCAGAATGTATGTTGAGAAATGGGGGTAACGGGAAACTGTGGGGAGCTGAATTAAATGGAGTATCCTAAACTAGGCATTGCCTGCTAACTGGAACACTGTACTGCACTGCTCTGCACTTCTGCACTGCAGCATTTTATTATTACAGGTCCCACTTGTGTTAGAGATGTAGCAGAAACCAAAAGTGAAGTAAGCAGTGTTTTAAGAAGGAAATAGCAGTTATGCATGCTTATTGTTAGTGGGACACGGGTGGCGCTGTGGGTTAAACCACAGAGCCTAGGACTAGCCTATCAGAAGGTTGGCGGTTCGAATCCCCACGACGGCGTGAGCTCCCGTTGTTCGGTCCCTGCTCCTGCCAACCTAGCAGTTCGAAAGCACAAAGTGCAAGTAGATAAATACTTCCCAGCGGGAAGGTAAATGCGTTTCCGTGCGCTGCTCTGGTTCGCCAGAAGCTGCTTAGTCATGCTGGCCACATGACCCAGAAGATGTACGCTGGCTCTCTCGGCCAATAAAGCGAGATGAGCGCCGCAACCCCAGAGTCGGTCACGACTGGACCTAATGGTCAGGGGTCCCTTTACCTTTATGCTTCTTGTTCCATACTCCCCTGCTCATCGTTCTTCCCAGTCACTGCATAAGTTGCAGGCCGCCATTGTGTTCAGTTATAATATCTGAACCCAGGTCAAAATGTACATGCTAAAGTAGTCCTCAGGTTTGGGGGTGGGGGAAGGGGTCTGCAATGATTTTTGAGAGCAAGCAAGTAGGAATGTTGGCATTCTTGTCAGAAATCTTCGGATCCTTGCTATTATTCAAGTAAGTTAACTAACCTGTTTATGGGGTATGCTGTACGGGCTCATCTGGCCCTAGTGCATTTTGCTCAGTGGTACAAGCAGTATTGGTTGCAAGTCCCTCTCACCGTCACGGAGTGTATATTACTCAGACTAGGACAGGAATGTGGCTTCTATTCCTTATCAGAATAGCAGTGGCATCTCTTTCCAAATTCCTGTGCGCTCTCGTCCACTGGGGACCTGTTCAGCAAGGAGTGTAAGGGAAGCTGGAAAGAAGGTCCAGAGAAAGTTGGTGACTCTTGTTTGGATCTTTGCCATCACTTTGTTTAACTTAATTTGGGTGCCTCGTATGCTGAGTGTATGCGAGAGAAAGAGAGAGAGCGTTACTGAACCAGCAATAGAACGGCTTCCCTGAAGGCAACTTGGTATCCTGCAGTTTGAGCTGCCATCACTTGAATCCAGCCAACACCAAGAATCCCAGGGGACAGATAAATCATACATTCAGGATTCCACTGCATACATTTTGAGCCCTCTGGTACTGAGGTGTGAGCTTGGAGGAGGAGGTTGTGTACAAAAACTTACATGGGTAGTAAAAGACTGAATATTTCCTGAATTATTGTTACACCTGACCTGTTTTTTGAAAACACATGGCTTGAAATACTCCCTCTGGTTGAGCATGCCCTCATAATTACTGATCTTTTGTTTTGGCAGATGCCTGCTATCTGTGCTAGGGTTAGCAGCCTACTTTAAAAATATAACTGTTGTTGCTGAGGGAGTTGTAAATGTTATGTTTATCTCTTGGTTTAGGAAATGTGTTAAGTAAGGATGATTTGACCCTCCCCAACCAATAACTACACATTTGTCTGTGTTAACTGGAACAAACTGTTACCTTAATTAAATTTCTTCAAAATATCATTGATTTTTATGAATGGAAAGGCTTTTTAAAAAACTTTTTATTAGCAAAGACATACATACAAAATACACAGAAAAAACAAACAAGCAATAAAGAAAAACATGCATAAAAAAGAAAATCGAATATGATAAGATAGTCTTACAATGTTTGTACTTAGATTAATATAACTCCTGCTTTATATATAGTGAAATTATTTAGAAGTCTAATATTTGTATAAAATATATATAAAACAAAAGGAAAAACAAAAACAAAAAAGATTAAATCAGATCAACCACTTAGACAATAAAAATACCTATCTATTGATAAGTATATATGTATATAATTTGAACCCATATTAATGTTTTTTTGTACATTATAACATTCATCATTATAACATTCATTTTGGGTTGAATCCCTTTTCCATTGTTGTATTGTTGACTTCATTCTACCTCATTACAGTTTTAATATAAATGTTTCTGTTTTCTACCCTGTCTTTGATTATTAATCCTCGTCTTGGAATGGGGAAAAAATATTTTGCAATCTGCAAAATTATTCAAAACACATCCAAGTCTTATTGTTGGAACCTTGTTTTATCAAGTAGTTATTAAAACATTCCCATTCTTTTTTAATTTTATCTGTTGGTTGATTTCTTATTAACTCTGTCATTTTCGCAAGTTCCAAGTACTCGTATAATTTTAGTTGCCATCCCTCTCTTGATGATGTGAGTTCACTCTTCCACTATTTGGCTTATTTTAAGCAGTGATTAATCTGTTAAAGTGCAAAATAGCCAATTGACTCTGGAAACCCTGTAGCTGATTGACAGTTCCAGAGCATGCATATTCTCTGATTCATGACTTGACTTCCACTACCCCCATCCACGAGCTTTAATTTCTGTCGGAATACCTCAGTACTAGACAAAAGCCTTTTTAATTAGCACATTAAGCCAGGCAGAGTACCCAAAAGAAGACAGATAAAAAAAATAAAATTCTGGCTGTTCTTCTCTTTGTTGTTCCTTAACAGGAGTGACACATGAAAGTCATTTCAAAGTCAATGTTCTTCAGTGTAGGAAGTTCATCTCACCCTGCTGAAAGAGCAAGTTTACTATGATACCTGTGTGGCTAGCTTGCTATATTTTAAAGTTGCAAAAACTATATCAAAACAGAGGAAGATTGGAATTGAGTCGTGCATCAGTGTAAGTCAGGAGCCATTTAAACTGCGCAGTGAGGTTAACTGGTGGTGTCAGGCTAAAGGAAGGAGATTTTGAGATAGGCAGAACTCCTATCAAAAGCAGGCAATTTCTAGGGCAGGTGCTTAATGGAACTTGGAAGAAACAGGAAATCTTCACTGTGCAAGAGTTCAACAATTGGCCTTCTGTGGTTGCTTGGCCTGCTTTGGATTAGCAAATCTGTTGAGCTGGGGAGACTTGTTTCTGTCTTCTATGCTGTAGTAGAAAAAGTTTTCCTACAGGACTAGCATAGGACTAGGAAGGACTCCAGGAGATAGCAAGAACTATCAGGTGCATCTCCAAGCATGTGTCTTGCTGCCCCATATATTTGATCAAAAACTTCATGAATGATCAAAGATAAATAAATTAAAAAGCCTTCACTCTGGGTTGGACTAGCCAACGGAGGCTTCACCTGAAGCACAAATAGCAGAGATTTTCGTTTCGTTTTGTCCAAACCATAGAAGAGAGAATGAGCGTGCCAAAGGTGGTTCAGGCTTCCCTGCAACCACTATTTTACATAACGAAAAACACGCACCTTCATTGCATTCACATAATTAACGTCAGGACAAATGACATTGCCGAAAACGCAAACTTAAGTGGATACCCTTTGGGGAGCTCTGAATTCAACTAAGAAGAAGCAAGTAAGATGAAGATGAAAATATAGCCTAATTACTGCATTCCCTGCCACGATAGGAGAAAAGAATAACAGGGCATGAAGAAACAGGCTTGAATTTACAATCACTTCACAAATTCTGGAAATATACCGTAGCTCCATTAGTATGTGGCACCTGAAGGACTATCAAGTATATTGTGATGTAAGCTTTCACGGACTAAGAGTCCATTTCATCACTTACATGACATGGGCTTCTTGAAAGGTTTGCAATCATCAGGGTGATGTCACGGCCAGATTTCTGACACTAGATCCCTTTGTAGAATTCCCCCATTGTAGCCTGAGTAGGTTCTGTTTTTCTTTTGCTGCTTTTGATGTACAGCAGAGCAGAAGCTGTACCCAAAGGGCTTGAATAATAGCTCTTTTCAGTGAAATGAAGTTTGGTCCTAAGGATGCAAAGGTTACACTGCAGCTCAGCCTGTAACTGAAATCGGATCTACTACCTAGAGCTCCATCTAGTGACTTCCCAGCAAGATCCAGAGAATTTCCCCCTCATTTTCTCTGTTTGAAAACAGAAGAGAAAAATGGTTTCTATTAAGATGAGCAGATGTTGCTGGGGGCATCAAACTGAATAAGGCTATTGTGAATGGCTCTTGTTTTGCTTTTTCCTCCTGTTTATAATTGCTGAGATTTTGTGTAACTCAGATTGTTTGTACATGTTTGTTTGTTTGAAACGTTTTTACCCCCAAATTCCTTGATCTGCTGGTTTAACGACATGGGTTGTGATTGTATGAGAGAAAACTGAAGACTTGAGGAGGTATAGTACAGAATCTACTACCTTATTTTGCATAAGGTATAGAAGAGGAATGGGGGACATGTGGTCCTGCAGATGTTGCTGGACTCCAGTAAGCCTCCACCAGTATAACCAGTGGTCAGATACGACAGGAGATGTAGTGTAGCAACATCTGAATGGTCATTGGTTCCCCATTCCTGGTGTAGTAGGACTCTTTAAGAGTTATTAGACTGCAATCCTGTGGAAAAGTATAAGTGCCATTGAATGGGTTGGGACGTATTTCTGACTGATCACGCATAGGATGGTGCTGCTGGTCTTAGTTTAATATTCGTCTTGCTTGATGCAGGTTGTTGGTAGAACTAGTAGT